TGCATGCACAGACCCCTCCCACATCCCAGCTATCCAGCCAGCAATTACTGGCAATTCCAGCCTGCTGGACACCTAAATCTCTCTGTTTATCCACCTTCCCCTCACTAAGTCACAAGTAGTGGGGAATCCCTTGTTCTCTTCCTCTGTTTCATCCCACTAACTCTGATTCTCCCTTGAGGCCCAGTCCCAATATAGGAGTTACTCCTACTTTGTTTCATGCCCCTCCTCACCTGAGAAGAGCTGTAGCACCTCCCATTTTTCACTTTCCCACACCTCATATCCTGTTCTCTTTCTCCTCCAACCCTACAGCCCTGCAGAATGAAATCCCCAACCCCCATGTGCCTTCACTCTTATTCCTCATCCATCTGTTCCACCTCCTAATGACCCACTTCCTCCTCCTCCTTGTCCTCCTCCATTTCCTCCTCCTCCTTTTACTTCTCCACTTGCTTCTCACCACTAGCTTCTCATCTTGCTCCTCTTCCTGCTCCTCTTCCTCTTCATTCCTTTCCAAGTCCCTTCCACCTGCACCCCCAATAGCCTTGGCCAGAACTTAACTGCTACAAGAGTCTCTCCCACCCACACAGCCAAGTCCTCTGCTCACCTGACTCACCCTCCACTGTGCTGTCTGAGGACATGGCCATGGACACTACTCCCTCTTCTATGACAGTAATATTTCCAACTGCACCTGCCTCCAATGACAGCTCCTACCCATGCCCCAAGGTCCATGGCCCTAGGCAGCACAGGCAGCCCCCCAACACCTCAGGTCTCCCACCCCAACTCCCATTTGAACCAATCCTTTGTCCCACTAACCACACCTCAGCCCTCATCTGGGAGCCCTCCTGGGTTCCATGGAGAACCTGCCTTTGCAATGCTGCCCTGCTTATAGCGATCCCAGTTAGGAACCATGCACTGCCTCCCACCTGGCACACAGTGTCTCCGCCATCATCCTCCTAGCCTGCAGCACCAGAGGAATCTGTAGATACCACCCCTTCTTCCTAGGCTGCCCTATCACTGTCCCCTCCTGCCTCCTAGAAAAATTTTGGAACATAATATGGGCTGCTTCCTGGTTCTGGGAACCACCATCAGAGTGGCAGCATTGCTTCAACTCCAGTCTCCACCAGCTGGGATACACAGCAGGTGCAGGGAATAAGTGTAACTCTCCAGATCCCCAGCAGTTCTAGAGCCACCTCTCAGTCCTCATGTAGAGCCCTGGTGGGCAGTGGTAGCATAACACATTCATTTAGGGTAACCCACCCAGGAAGCTCAGCCCAGGCTGTGGGCTTAAACTCAGTACCCTTCCAACAGTGAGTGGCAGCAATGGGATGCCTAGTCTTTTGGGTATGATATCACCCCAGACGCCCTTGTGTACATCACTCCACAGCTGGCCAGGCTTTCCTATGGTGTAGTGTAGGGGTTTAGAGTCTCCAGGACAGGCTGGGACTTGCTCATACGTGGGCTGGATATGGGACATCATATCCAGACTGCTTAATTTGCCAACTCCCCTCTCAGGCCTGTGGTGTTCTTGAAACCTGCACTGCTGGGACTGGTTTTGCAGTGCCCATTCCAGACGAAGAGTGCTGCCTGCGTTAAACACCGTGGATCTAAAACACTCACTGTGGAGCATAGAGGAGATCTACATGTATGCCTAACCTGACACCACCACAAAACCCACACTCTGGTTTGATGGTAACCTGTTTGATCAGAGCTGGGCAATTTCCTGGCCTTCAATCTGGCTAAGATATAGGAATAAGCTTCTTATTAAACCTCATATGTTTGCCTCCATGGCCTTCCTCTTGTCCCAAAAATGTATATAAATTCTTATTATTTCTAGTTTTTCTTTCTCTGTTTATACATCTACCTTGCTTTCTGATTAGATGTCAGAGAAAGATATTCATATGATCATAGTAATGTGTGGAGCCTGACTAAATGCAAATTTGGAATAACAACATGTTTTTTATGTGCAGAAGATTGATCCAAAGGTGCTCTTCCCCTGAGCTTTACAGAGGCTTTTTATTTTTCATTTTGAGACAGAGTCTCACTACATTGGGAAGGCTGCCTAGAACTCAACAACTTCCTGCCTCAGTCCCTAAATTACTGGGATTACAGGAATGCACCACCACACCTGGATTGACTAATAATTTTTAAGTCCCTTTCCCTTATTCTTAAATTTGGACCTTTGGGTGCTTTTTAATTAAGCCACATCCCCGGCCCTTTTATTTTGAAACAGGGTCTCTCTAAGTTGCTTGGGGTCTCACTAAATTGCCAAGGCTAGTCTCAAACTTGCCATCCTCCTGCCTCAGTCTCCCAAGTTCCTGGGATTACAGGCATGCACCACAATGCCCAGCAAACAGAGCCTATTTGTATGCTTTTTATTTTTATTTTTTATTTTTTGCATTATTGCACTGACTAGGACCTCCTGTACAGTGTTGAATAGAGGTGTTAAAGGCAAATGTCCTTGCCTTACTTGTGATTCTAGAAGGAAAACATTCAGTCTTTCATGTTCTAAGTTTTTTGTAGATGGCCTTTATCATACCGAGGAAGTCTTCTTCTGTTTCTGCTTTGCTGAGGGTTGAATAGGTGCTGCATTTTGCTCAGTGTTCTTTTCTGCATCTGTTGGCCATATGAGGCCATCTGACTTGTTTTGGCCAACGAAATGTGGATGGAGTTTACATCCATTTCTTCTGAGCAGGAGCTTTAATAATCAGTGTAAGATTTGCTATATTGTCTTCCCACTGCTGCAGTAATGGTGGAAGCTCCTGCTGCAATGGAGCATTGGAGTGAGCTTGTGTGAGTGCCAGCAAGAAACAAACTTGATAGGAAGAGGATAGGAAGGGCAGCAGAATACAACAGACACTAGTATGGCAGTATGTATAAACGTGGCTGTATAATCCATGTGATCCTGCAATCTGTACATGTGGGAATAATAAGAATTCATACCCCATTTGAAACAAATGTATGATATATGATATGTCAAGATCAATGTAATGTTTTGGGCAACTAATAAATTTCTGATGTTTAAAAAAAAAGAAACAAACTTGGTTGGGATAAGTCCAAGAGTTTGGAACTATTCATTAACGTATTACCTTTTATGGAGAAGATTTGCCCTTAGGACAAACTACTTGTCTTCATTGAGTTTACATTCTTACATAAGGGAAACAGATGTATACCATCATATCAGAAAGTAGTGCAATGAAGAAAATAAAGCAGATGAAGTAGGATGTGGGATGGAGGATGTTTGGGTTTTAGGTGAAGTTATTGGGGGGGGGGTCTCCTTAAACAAGGCAAGGATGGAGCTGAGAGGGAGGGAGCCATGAAATATCTGAGTGGAGAAAGGTGTTCTAGGTAGAAGGAATGGCTCACATACAGCCCTAAGACAGGCACTCCAGATTGTCTAAGGTATAGAGGGTGTTGATCAAGTTGAAAGAGCTGTCCTCTGATAGAGTATATCCACCCAATGACCCTGTGGGTTCAAGCCAGGGTTGGGCCAGAGAGGGTCACTGCTGAGCAGATCAGCAGTGGTTGGTAGACTGGTTAGCAATGGCTTTGCTAGAATGCTCAGACATCAGTATTCCTCCACTGCCGGGATTTTCAACACTTCATTCAGGTCTCATCTCTATCTTTGCCTTGTTTAAGACCTTCCCCAATAACTTTACCTAAAACTAAAAGTAGGGCAGAGAGTAACTAGACCTCTCCCTGACATTCTGGCATAGGGGCTTCACTTGAGAAAAATAATTTGAATTTGAGACTGAGAGAGTTCATGATCATTGCTTTCTTGAAAGTCATTCTCCACCTTAAAAGTCATCAACAGCTTTCTACTGTCCCTAGGGAAAAGTCTATACTGTCTACTTAACCTCCTGACACTCCCTTCATAGAACTCTTCCAGTTGCACTGTATTTCTTTCAGCTCCTTTGTAAGCTGCGTTCTCTCTGAGCTCTTGCAAAGGCTATTCCTTCTGCTGGAAATGCACTTCTTCATTCCTCCTGGGTAACAACCCTCAGGACAAAGGTAAATGCCTCCTGGAATATTTCCAGGTGGCTAGTTTAGATGTTGTCAAATGCTACCTTAGCATTGTCCTTCTTCTAATATGGCACTAATCATACTGTTTTAAAAAATCAAATAATTTAGGTATGCAAAGAAATATATTTTTAAAAAGTCCCACACTGTGCACACATATACCTATTTATCACCCAATTTAAGTAATAAAACGCTGCCAATTGAAGCCCACTCTGAAGTAGGCGTACCATTCTGCTCTCTTCCTACCCCGAAATTTTACTTGAATTTCGTGTGTATCTTTCCATGTTTGTCAATGCGGTTCTATTACATGTGTATAAATATTCTTACACTTACCATATTGTTTTGCCTCAATTTATGTTACTACAAAGTCATTCTGCAATCTGCATTCTCCCCCTCACCCCTACTTTTGAGATTCACCCTCATTTCTACTGCTACAAGTACTGCACACGTCCTCTTACACAGTGATAGTTTCTCTGCGTACATAGCCAGTGGATCTGAGGAATACTCATTCCTAGAGGCCTTGAACTTCTTCAGAGATTGACAACAGGATTTTCAAAGTGGTAGTAAGACTTGGTGGTTTTTAAGTTGTGTCTCTTTCTCTAGATAGTAAACGCCTGGGTGTGTGTGTGTGTGTTGGGGGATAAGACCCTTTAGTCTTGCTTACCTAAAGGGTCATATCCCCAGAACGGTGGACAGAGGCCTCTAACACCCACTTGTATGGTGAACGTCTTTTGCAGGAATTTAGCAGAATGTTGCCCAGGGAAATGGTTAAGGATTGGGGAGCAAAGACTCCTGGCCTGCAGGAGTCTTTGTTTCTCCGAAGACACAAACACTACCGCAAAGTGTAGAAAACCTTGGCTCTTACTTAATAAGCTTCACCTAGGGCAGGGCCTAGAGACTCCTGGCCTAGGGCGGCTCGGCCCCGCCCCTAGGTCTGCCCCGCTTCCCGCACTTCCCTCGGCCTTCCCAGCGGTGACTCAGACCTGTGTAGTGACGGCATCCGAGTGGAGGCGATGACGGGCGCGCGGCCGCCCACCGCCGAGAAGCGCAGAGCGGAGGAGCGCGGCGGCGCTGGAGCTGCGTTCCAGGAGGCGGCGCCGGGGAGGAAGCTGCGGCTGGAGAGCGCGGCGGGCGACATGCGCGGGGCGCTGGGCGCCGGCTGGGCGCTTGCTGCGCTGCTGCTGGTGGCGTCGATGCTGAGCGCCGCGCTGCTGGCCCCTGGCGGCTCCCCAGAGCAGGGCGCTGAAGCCGAGCCGCAGCGAGGTGAGTGCGCCGCGGCCCTGCTTCCCTCCATGGCCGGCCTGTGGGCGCGATGAGCTGTGCTGCGCACAAGTGTTCCCCCCACGGTGGCATCTCCCAACTCGGGACGCTGAACCAGTCCTCCAGAGCCAGTTTTTGTTCGACTTCGATGTTTGAGCTTTTCCCGGGACGGGAGTCCGTGTTAGGCACATTTGTCTACAGCTGCAGGCACCGTGAGGCCAGGGCAGGTGGTGGTTAGTGCAGTGGAGGAGCCGCACCCCAGCATCCAGACAGCACCCACCCGAAGGCGACAAGGCCCGAGAGAGGCGCGGCCCGCGCTTGCCTTGCCTTCACCGAGAGCAGTGCTGCGAGGTAGCCTGGCGCCCTTGTCCGCCCGCTCTCCAGGAGGCTAGGGGCATCCTGGCACATCTTTGGGCGACTTTGGGCTAAATAGTATCCTGCCTTTGATCGGGAAACCTGTCACTTCACAGATGCAAAGCTAAGTAAGAGACAGTAGCGGAGGAGAGGATGGAACCGAAAGCCATGCCTCATCTGGTCTACTGTTTGGAGAGACTTATACAGAAACGCAGTTTCCCGCCCCCCCCCCATCCCTTTCGAAAGAGGACAGGGCGGTCGAAATAGTAAAACCCATTGGTGTCCCGCGGGGTAGGAAAGCCAGGCGCTGAAACGCGGGCCTGGAAAGGTCGCTGGAGCTGCGGGACGCTGAGCACGTGACCCCTAGTCACGAGAGGGACGTTTTCCCGGGTTCGCTTTCCCGAGTGAAAGTTCAACATGCAGAGACTGGAAGGCGGCGGTGGAGGGGCGTTGCCTGAAGTCTAATGTCCGGTGAACTTTCTGGTGAGCCTCCCTTAGGCGACTTTTACTCCTAAAGCAGTGGAGCAGCAGCTGAGGCTGTGATTTGCTGGCGCCCAGCGTTTTGCAGGGAATCCACAGTTAGGTCGGACCCATGGGAGGGGCTTTGCAGCGGGCAGGGATTGGTATTTTTGGCCTGGGAGAGGCGATAGATTCACCTAGTGGTTCCCTAATTTGCCGGCTCCCGGAACTAACTAGTGGAGAAAATAATGACAAATAAGAATTCCAGTGCTTCTAAACTCTTGGCTGAGGATCCCCAGAAGTCTAGTTTATTCACAAGCCTCTCCCCAGAGGATGATTTGATCTGGATCCAGGGATCTGTCTAGTCCACAAACTCCCTTAAGTCAGTGTTTAGGGCCAGGGGCGCAGGTAGTCGTATCACTCGGGATTGTGAGTCACTTGCCTCTCTTCTCCCTCCTTCCATCCCCTTTTCCGTATCAGAACACAGGAGTTTGGGTGTCTTGTGTATGTGGAGTTAAGATTGCCCCCTTTCCCCAATCAGAATCTTGTAGGAGGAAGACATAATGAATTTCTAAAAAACATCTCAGCTGAGGACATTTTATATACTGACTCCCTCTGTCCGACCTCAGTCTTATTTTCCTGTACGCCCCTCCTTTTATAATTGAAAGGACTCCAAGCTATTATGTACTCTGCCCATTCACAATTTGTCAGGGACAGATCCCATCCAACGCTGTTTCTCTATATTTTAGCAACAGTTAGTAACAATAATTATTTTAGGGAAAAAGTGATTTTTTTATTTTATGATACTGGGGATTGTACACCCAGGACAAATGCTTGACCGTTCAGCTACAGCCCGTGGCCTTCATGCTCATATTCTTAGGTGTTCCATTCCCATAATGTTCCTGTGAAGAAGATGACCAGGCTTTTTGTGCCAATTAAAGCCCATATTTAGGCTGGACAACATTATTCGAAGAAATGACCTGGGGATTTAATATTACTTTAAAAAAATAAGGAAAAAATATATTTAAAAACATGCTCAGCAAAGGATTGGTGGTGTATCTACATGGAAGAGCACTTACCTAGCATGGGGGAGGCCTTGGGTTTGAGCCCCAGAAGGAGGGGTAATGGTGAGAGGAAACTTCATTTAAAAATATGCTCACTGTTTTAGCTTTTTCATCACTGTGACCAAAAGACTTGATGAGAATAGTATTGAGGAGGAAAAGTTTATTTTGGCTCATGGTTTCAGGGGTTCAGTTCTTGGTCTGCTGACTCCATGGTTCTGGGCCCAAGGTGAAGCAGAATATCATGAAGGAAGGGGATGGCAGAGGAACGCAGCTCTGGACAGGGAACAGGAAGCAGAGAGAGAACTCCACTCACCAAGGACAAAATATAAATCCCCAAAGCATATGCCCAGTGACCTGCTCCCTCCTGCCACACCTTACCTGCCTTCAGTTATTGCCCAGTTAATCCATATTAGTGGATTAATCCACTGATTGTGTTTCAGCTCTCATAAAGTAATCATTTTGCCTCTGAAAATTCTTGCATTGTCTCACACATGAACTTTTGGGGGACACCTTATGTCTGAACCATAACGCTCAGCAAAGCAGAGAGCTACAACCAAAAATTAAATATTTGGAAATATAATAAAGATCTGATTTACAATAGTACATTTATCCCTGCGTTATTCAAAGATGTCTTTATTTGGCTTATTTTCCAACCAAGGCAACGTAAGAAGTGTGTGTGTCTGTGAAACAAACTCTTTTATTTATTTATTTTGGCTTTTAAATACAGTCAACCAGGCATGGTGGCACAGACTTGTAATCTCAGTCACTTGGGAGGCTGAGGCAGAATTGCAAGATCTAGGACAGCCTTGAGTAATTTAGCAAGACCCTGTAGCTCAATGGTAGAGAGCCCCTAGGTTCAATCCCCAGTATGAAGGACAAATAAACACTGCAAAAACAGACTACAAAAAACCCATTCGAATAATGCAAAAAAGTACAAAGAAATATGTCAAAAATCTCTGGTCTCATAGTCTCTATGACCTTCAACCTCAGCTGCACATAAGAATCACTTTAGGGCTGGGGCTATTGCTCAATGGTAGAGTACTCTCCTAGCATGTGCGAGGCACTGGGTTCAATCCTCAGCACCACATAAAAATAAATAAATAAATAAAATAAAGGTATTGTGTCTATCTATAAGTCAAAAATATACTTAAAAGAAAAAAAATCACTTTGAAAGGGTTGTTTTTGTTTCTGATTGGGCAAAGATTCTGACTTAACTGGTCTGGAGTAGGGCCAGCACATTGGAATTTTGTTGTTTTTTCTTAGAGCTTTCCTGGTAATTCTGATGTTCAGTTGGGACTGAGCCCCTCTGCATATTCCCAAGTGACATAATTAGTAATGACGACAATTAAGAGCTTTCAGAGTCTAAAATTCATATGGAAAATCTAAGCATAAAACAATATTCATAGAAATTTGAGTAAAAAACAAAGTCATTCCACTATGAAGGTGGACTATGATGGTGTTTAGAAAAATTACAGAGGAAAAGGTGAACATGAAGTTAATTCTAAATTTGAAAAGGAAAATCATCAAAACTGAATAAGACAAATGAAAAAATGTTTTAAGACAATTATGAGAAAGATGAAAAAGGATTTAATATTGTTGTTATGTACAGAAATTCTACAAATACTTAAGGAGACCCCGGGGGCAAAGTGGTTAAATATATAATCCAATAACTCACATGAAAATATTGATGTTAACATCTTTTTAAAAATATTTATTTTTTTAGTTGTAGTTTATTTTACTTATTTTTATGTGGTGTTGAGGATAGAACCCAGGGCCTTGCACGGGCTAGGCGAGTGCTCTACCACTGAGCCACAATCCCAGCCCTGATATTAAACATTTGGAATACATACTTAAATTTGCTTGTCATTAATCAAAGTGCTATATCCTATTCATCAGTCTGAAATGTGAAGTAAAAAAATTAAAAGGCTAATCATGACCAGCTGCTAAGGAATGGTGTGCTTCCTCTCAGGAGGCTGCTAGGTACCTGGTTAGATTGACTTCACCTGAAATCTTGGCTGCTAGTAGGTGGTGACCTCAGCAAATTGGTTGATCTGTCTAGGCCTCAGACTCCTCATCCCAAAATGGAGACCTGTTGGGTCTCTTAGTGTGTCCCTATAGCCTAGCTATTCAGGAACAGACTAAGAACTATTTCAGTGGACTATTAGGGCCTGGCATACATTAAAAGCATAGTTATTATGTTGTCTGGGAGTTTATAATCATTGCAGTTGTCATCGTAAATCACTAAAATTGAGAGGAATTTCAAAATATATATCATAAGCTATTCAAAAGGGGCCGTTTTTTATTTGTTTTTAGATATACATGACAGTAGGGTTAGGGTTAGGGTTTGACATACATACATGTGGTGCAACCCATTACAATTTTGATCCTATTCTTGTGGGTGAACATGATGAGGAGTTATACTGGTTGTGTATTCATGGGCATAGAAAAGTTATGTCTGATTCATTCTATTGTCTTCCCTGTTCTTATCTCCCCTCCCCTCCCTTTGTTCTCATTTATCTAATTTAATGAATTTCTATACTTCCCCTCCCCCCTCTCTTGTTATGGGTTAGCATCCACATATCGAGAGAACATGTGACCTTTGGTTTTTTGAAATTGGCTTAGTTCACTTAGCATGACCAGTTGTATCCATTTACTGTCAAATGCGATGATTTCATTCTTTATAGCTGAGTAATATTCCACTATGTATGTATACCACATTTTCTTTATTCATTCATTGGTTGAGAGGCACCTAGGTTGGTTCCAAAGCTTGGCTATTGTGAATTAAGCTGCTATAAACAATGATGTGGCTGTGTCACTGTAGTATGCTGATTTTAAGTCCTTTGGGTATAAGCCAAGGAGTAGGATAGCTGGGTCAAATGGTGGTTCCATTTCAGATTTTCTAAGGAATCTCCATACTGCTTTCCAGAGTGGTTGATCCAGTTTGCAGTGAGGTGAAATCTGAGTGTAGGTTTTGCTTTTTTTTTTTTTTTTTTGGTGCTGGAGATCAAACCCAGGACCTTGTGCATGCAAAGCAAGCACTTGGGGATATACCAACTGAGCTATCTCCCCTGCCCTCTCTCAGTGTGTTTTAATTTATATTTCTCTAATTGCTAGAGATGTTGAAAATTTTTTCCTTTATTTTTTGACCATGTATATTTGTTCTGTGAAGTGTCTGTTCAGTTGTTTTGCTCATTTGTTGACTGGGTTATTTGGTTATTTGGGTTTTTTTTTTTTGGTGTTAAGTTTTTTGAGTTATTTGTATATCTTGGAGATTAATATCAAAGGCTACTTTTGATTAAAAATTAAAAAAGTAAATAGGACTAGGGATATAGTTGTAAAGTGCCCCAAGTTCAATTCCCAGTAATGAGAAAACACAAAACAAAAAATCAAACACGTATCCTAAGAACATATTAATTTCAGATGTATCTAGCATCATTTCTTAAACTATAAAGAAATAGGGAACGGGTGTTAGAAATTAAGTTAAATGAAAAAAGAAGAAACAACCTATAAAAAAATTTTAAACAGATGTTCCCAATCCTAAAGAAGCTCCAACTGTAACTTGGATCATTCTACTGATCATTTATTGAGCACTTGTTTCATGCACTGTGCCAAACATTACATATATCATCATGTTTAGCTTCTCCAACAATCCTACGAATAAGGACTCTTATGATCCCTAATTTATTGATGAGGAACTGAGGTAGGGTGGGATTCAGGTTCAAGTTGATCTAACTTGGAGTTGTACACATTTAACGTACTGTGTTGTATCCCTGGACCCAAACACTGTGTGTGTCAAAAGTTTTCCAGAAGGATACTGAAGATCAAAAAAAAAAAATGGTGGATATGGGCTGGGACTGGGGCTGTGGCTCAGCGGTAGATTGTTCGCCTAGCACATGCGAGGCCCTGGGTTCGATCCTCAGTACCACATAAAAATAAATAAATAAAGGTATTGTGTTCAACTACAACTAAAAAATAAATATTAAAAAAATGATGGGTAGTCTTTTATTTATCTTAGAGAAGAAAAAGTATCATTGGATAATTAAGAGTTTTATCTGTGTGTTTTGTCTTCACTGAGCAAAGAAAGGGTAAATTAAAATAAAAATGATGAGGGATTTAAGCTGGTAAAGTGAAAATTTCTGAACCATTCAGATGAGTTATTGGGGAAGCCTGAAAAAGGCTTTCAAATTACAAAATAAGAGGCTAAATTGATGCCTTTCTAGTGGGGTGATTACATAGTTAAGCTTATTTTATTTTATTTTTTTGTACTGGGAATTGAACTCAGGGCATTCATCCCCAGCCCTATTTAATATTTATTTAGAGACAGGGTCTCACTGAGATGCTTAGCACCTCACCACTGCGGTGGCTAGCTTTGAACTCAAAATCCTCCTGTCTCAGCCTCCTAACCTGCTGATATTATAGGTGTGCACCACTGCGCCTTGCTGGTTACTCCTTATTTTCCTTTTGCTTAGAAGCTAGAGGGTAGATTGATTTCTCTTCCACACAATATCAGTTGGTTTAAATGAACTACTTTGCTTTAACTTCAGATAATATCAGTTCAGTTTGTTTTCCAAATTAGCAAAACATAGAGTATGCATCCTCCCCTCCATTCCCATCCCTTTCCTTCCCTCCATCCCTTTCCTTCCTCCCTCCCTCCCTCTACAGTGCTGGCCATGGAACCCAAGGCTTCATACATATTAGACTACACCCTACATTCTGAATGTCCGTCACCTTTATGTTATCCTAAGAATGCCATCTAGTAAACGGGGGCCTGTGCATCTGATTCAATATCAGAACAGTGGGTCTTCCATTCAGACTGAGGCTTACATTCTAACCCTTCAAGTGTGTGATCCACTCCTGTCCCCTCTCAAATCTGTCATTGAAGTGACAAAGAGATTCAGAACCCCACACCAAAGTGATCAAGAGCTGGACTTCTCAAACTTTTAAGAATGTACAGGTCATCTAGGAATCCTGCTAACCTGCCCGTGGTGAGGTAGAGGGGCTGGAGCTCTGCATTTCTAACAAGCTGCCAAAGCTGAGCTCATAGACTGGTAACATGATAGAGGAAAGTCAGGGTTTTGAAAACATACCACTGGGGTTTAGATCATTGATTTCATTAGAAAACTCTGTGGCGATAGGCTGTATCTAACTCTCGTGAGCCTTAATTTATTCTTCTGAAAAATGGAGAAAATACTTAGTTCACAAGGTTGTCATTATATGGAAACTGTTAAATTCAGTGCCTGTCTCATTTTAGCATTTGATGGGTGTAAGTTCATTTCACAGTCTTTTTGCACACTGGATGTGAATGGTGTCAACCAAATCCTTGTTTGTAGTAGAGGCATCTGTGCCAAAGGGTACCTACATGTGTATGTGAATGCACTTGCATGCACACATACATTCGTGTGTACTGAAAGCAATGTTTTAGAGACTCCTAAAACTCTATAGAGTGCAGGTATTTGAGAAGCACTTACTGATGTACTTTTTTCGTCTCTAGCACATCTTTTGGGTTTATTTTTATTTTTTTAACTTTTCTTTCTATTCTTATCAGATTTAGACTTAGATAAAAAAAGGCATGTGGAGCTGAAGATGGATCAGGCTTTGCTACTCATCCATAATGAACGACTGGGAACAAACTTGACTGTTTACTGGAAATCGGAACGCTGTTACTGTGTATGTATCGTGTTCAAAGTCATAGTTTTGTTTCCCTTGGGGCTTGTTTGATATGATCCTTAATGCCCTCACATCTAAGGCCCTTTACATGTTACTTTCAATTTTTATAGGTAAGGAAACAGACAGGTTATAATAAGGAGTTAGAAGAAATGTAATCAAGGGAGAGTACCTGGGTCATCTCTGAGGACAAGCATAGTGAGAACAGTAGGAAGGTGCAAGTTGAGGGAAAGACCATTAGAGCAGGAATCTGCCTCTCTGAAAATAAAGATTTATGTATGTAGTTATGTACTTATTTATTTATTTATTTTTTGTGTGTGATACTGGGATTGAACCCAGGGCCTCATATATAGTAGGCAAGAGCTCTACGACTAAGCCACATCCCTAGTTCTTTTTAAATTTTATTTTGAGAGATGGTTTCCCTAAGTTGTCTAGGCTGGCCTTGAACTTGTGATCCTCCTCAGCTTCCCTGGTAATTGGGATTCAGGTATACACCACCATGCCCGACTATAAACAGCTTTCCAGAACCAAAATTGTCAGTACAGGCATCAACTGAAAAGATGATGGAACATAGTATACAATACCCCTTTATTTGATTAAACCCATCGAAAAATCTATGAAAAAAAGAAGACCTGTAATAGTTAAAAACAAAAGTAGCTGAAGACAAAATTTATTAGCCAGGAGCTGTGTTGTGGTAGAGTACTTGCCTAGCATGGGGAGGGCCCTAGGTCCTATCCGTAGCACTGGGAGAAAAAGGTTTTATCAGCCTATAAAGAGCCTAAAGAAGCCTGAAAAAAAAGTCAATAACAGCTGAAATTAAAGTGACAAGAAACATAATTCAGAGAATGGGCAAATTTCTTCTAACAAGATTTTAAAAGATCTAAAGTTGGGCTGGGTTATAGCTCAGTGGTAGAGCGCTTGCCTAGCATGTGTGAGGCACTGGGCTGGATCCTCAGCACCATATAGAAATAAGTAAAATAGAGGCCCATTGACAACTAAAAAAAAGGTGTAAAGTCCACAGAAATCAAGTTGTCCGGTGGGGGTGGGTCAACTGTATTGATAATATATGAGATGAAGGGCAGTAAGAGTATTATTAGAATAAAAAGTAGCCAGGCACGGTGGTGCATGCCTATAATCCCAGTGACTAGGGAGGCTTAGGCAGGAGGATTGCAAGTTCAAAGCCAGCCTCAGCAACTTAGCAAGGCCCTAAACAACTTAGTGAGACTTTGTCTCAAAAAATAAAAAGGGCTGAGGATGTTGCTAAGTGGCTAAACGCCCCTGGGTTCAATTCCTGGAAACAAAACAAAACAAAACAAAAATATCAGTCTCATTGATACAAATCATGGTCAGGTAACAGACTAAAGAATCCAAAAAACAGAAGGGCTAGGAAGTAGCTCAGTGGTAGAGCAATGTGTCTGGTATGTGTGAGGCCCTGGATTTGATCCCCAGTATTGCACACACACACAAATTAGTAATTTACTAAAAGGGTTTAGAGATCATTGTGTCTAAGGAAAATGTGTAAAGGAGTGGGACAGAGTTAATTATTATAGTAAGAGAATGTCCTGCAATTGAAGAAAAAGAAACTTATGACCCTTTAAAGGTTAAGCAACCAGAGAATGATATCTGTACTTAAACTGTTTTAAATTTGAACTTTAATAATTTGGAAGTCTTTTTAAAAAAAATTAAATTTTTTTTTTTTTTTTTTTTAGATATTGATGGATCTTTTTATTTTATTCATTTATTTATATGTGGTGCCAAGAATCGAACCCAGTGCTTCACACATGCTAGGCAAGTGCTCTACCACTGAGCCACAGCCACAGTCCTATTTTGTATTTTATTTAGAGACAGAGTCTCACTGCGTAGCTTAGTACCTAGCTTTTGCTGAGGCTGGCTTTGAACTCAAGATCCTCCTGCCTTACCTACTCAAGTACTGGGATTACTACAGGTATGTGCCACCATGCCTAGCTAATAATTTGGTAATCTTTAAAAAATAAGGGTCAAAGGAGAGACAAGTATTCAAAAGAATGCAAATTATAATAACTTTATATTTAATACAACATAATAAAAATCTGGGAAAGGTAGACTGATATCTTTAAGATATTTAAAAGTGAAGGCATGCCTTAGAGACCAATTACCTAGTTGAGAATTTCCTATTCCCTTTTCTTTATCTCACTTTCCTAAAATAGAAAGACTTTTATAGATCCATAAACATAGAAAAAACATGTAGATCAGTTTTTATAGCTTGATAGCTTTTTTGTTTTGTTTTGTTTTGGAATAGGGGACTGGACCCAGGGTACTTAGCCTGAGACACATCCTCGGCCATTTTAAAAATTTTCTGTTTTTGAGACAGGATCTTGCTAAGTTGTTTAGGGCCTCACTGAGTTACTGAGACTGGCCTTGAATTTGTAATCCTCCTGCCTCAGCCTCCTGAGTCACTGGGATTACAAGGATGTGCCACCATGTCTGGTGATGGATAGCTTTAACACATCTAAAAACAATTATAATGTATTACCAAGTTCTTTTGAATAGAGAACAAGATTTAGAGAAAGTTTGTTATTGTATTGTTAGCAATGAGCAACTATTATAATGGACATAATTAAGATGTAACTGACAAAAAGACAATGAAAATTGCTCTTAAGGATACTAAATAATATTCCTTCCTTATGGGATCTGGAGGTAGGAGAATGGAAAAGAGGGAGTGGAGGCGCTGGGTTGTGGCTAAGCAGCAGAGTGCTCACCTAGCATGTGCAAGGCCCTGAGTTCGATCCTCAGCACCACATAAAAATAAATAAAATAAAGGTATTGTGTTTAACCAACTACAACTAAAAAATAAATATTAAAAAAAAATTAAAAAAAAAGAGGGAGTGGAAGAGGAATATAGAAATTCTGTGCTTTTATTGCATTGAGGGAATTCAAAGTGGTTATCTGTTACTTTTGAATGATTATTATTTTCAAGCGTAAACTAGAATAAAAAACATTTTTTGTAAGTAGACATGCTCTAAGTGTGATAAATATAGATAAGGTTGTTGTATCTTTAAAATATTACTAAAGAAGGAAAAATATACAACATAGAAAACATATAAATGGAAAAAGAATTAAAGCAGAGGAGGGAATTCAGGGTAATTAAAACTAGAATGATTATAACAAATGCGAATGTACTAACTTCTATAAAAATAAGACCCTCAAGGGCTGGGGGTGTAGCTCAGTGGTAGAGCCTACCATGCACAAAGCACTGGGTTCAATCTCCAGCACTGGGGGGGGGGGGAAGACTCTCAGATTGTATTGAAAATAGTGTGGATGATTCAAAATCACTTTTGGTAAAAGTTAAACAGTTAAATATACATAATATGTTAGGGCTGAGGTTGTGGCTCAGTGGTAGAGCACTTGCCTGGCATATGTGAGGCCCTGGGTTTGATCCTTAGCACTGAATAAAAATAAATAAAGTGAAAAATCCATTGACAACTAAAAAATATACTTAAAAATGATCCTTTCAAAAAAACATACAAAATATGTTAAACATACATAAACAAATATTGATAAATAAAGTTTTAAAAACCCAAACATGATATTGTACTTATAAAGAATACGTTGAAAACAGAAAGGAAATCATACTTTTTTGATGAGGTAGATGTTGGAATAAAAGGGTCCAGTCAAAGCTTTAGTATTTACATAAGTGATAAAGGAATATTAATACTAAAATATGGATAGCCTAGATAAAAAGTCTACCAATTTATGCAAAGCAAATAGAAAATAATGGTAGAAACTGCAAAACAAAGTTGTAGAGACAAATGACAATACACATTTATCAGACTGTGATAGAGCAAGCTGACTGGGGTTTAACCAGCTCAACTGAACCAGCGTGGTGGAATGAAGTGGTGAAGAGCATGGATTCCACGGCTAAAGTGCCTGGTTCAAGTCCCACCTCTGTCACGTCGTCATCATTGTCATCATCATCATCATCATTATTATTAGGTACTGTGCTTTGAGCCCAGGGACACTTTGCCACTGGGCTACATCCCTAGCTCTTATTTTGTATTTTGAGACAGGGTCTCATCTGACTAAATTGCTTAGGGCCTTGCTGAATTGCTATGGCTAGCCTTGAATATAATATCCTCCTGTCTCAGCCTCCCAAGTTGCTGGATTATAGGCATGCACCACCATGCCTGGCCTCTGTCACTTTATATCTGTGTGAATTTGAGTACGGCACTTACTTTTACTCTGTGCCTCACTTTCTTTACTTATGAACCCAGAGGAAAAATGGAACTTTCTCCTTATGAACATTTCATGACTTAGTATACGTAAATTGAAGCAGAATAAGGCCTTTCTAAGTGTCTTTATTGGCAATAAACAAGTGACACTTATCACAGGAATTAAATAGAAAAAAATAGATAGCTCCAACAATATCTATATTTATTTCACAATAACATTGATCATATGTGAGGTCAAATGAGACTAAATAAATAGATAGCAAAAGGAGGGATTATATATCCCACATTCCTTTGCACAACAGAAAATAAACTAATGAAATAGCCATATAATATAAGTATTTCAATGAAAAATCTTTAGGTCAGGCGAAAGAAATTCTTACAAAACATTATTTCAATTTTTTTGGGTGGGAGGTGTTACTGGGAATTGAATACATACTCACAATAGTAGAATAGAGAGGATTTTACAAATGGTGAGACCTAGATTAAGATACATACAGTGACTTTTTGTGGCCAGAGGCTTTATCAGAGTTCTGCTTTATTAACTAGAATGAAAAAGGGAAGTATAAAACTGTTGGTATCAATCTCAAAGTTTTGGCAAGCAAACAATGTAATCATCTAACACAAAAAAAAGGGAAGCAATGAAAGTAATAAGTATTTGGGCTGGGGTGTGGCTCAGTGATAGAGCGCTCCGCTCGCCTAGCATGTGCTGGGCACTGGGTTCGATCCTCAGCACCACATAAAAAATAAATAAATAAAATAAAGGTATAAAAAAAGTAGTAAGTATTTAAATTAGTCATGAGAAGAATTGCGAAAAAGAGTCAAGAAATGTTTAAAACTTAAAAGTCGTAGAATTCATAAATTTAAAGGAATAATGAGAATTAAAAATATTAGAAATTACAATAAATTGGGGCTGGGGTTGTGGCTCAGTGGTAGAGCACTTGCCTCGCACATGTGAGGCACTGAGTTCAATGAGCCACCTAAAATAAATAAGTAAAATAAAGGTAATGTGTGCATCTGCAACTAAAAAAAATGTATAAACAACAAAAAACAAACGAAAAAACCATAGGCTCAGGAAAAAAATAAATTACAATAAATATATCAGCTGAAATTTAAAATATTATGGTCTAACAAACATTTTTTTCCAACAAATATTTATAAGATGTTAAATTTAAGATTCAAAACCTGATTTTCTTAGCCAGGTATAGTGGTACATGCCTGTAATCCCAGCTTCTCAGGAGGCTGAGGCAGGAGGATTGTAAATTCAAGGCCATCCTGTGCAATTTAGTGAGACCTTGTCTCAGAAAAAGAAAAAAAAAAAAAAAAGGAAAAGAAAAGAAAAAGAAAAAGAAAAGAAAAAGAAAAAGAAAGAGGGGTTGGTGTTGGTGATATAGTTCAGTGGTACAGTGCCATGGGGTTCAATCCCCAGTTTTGGAAATAAAAAAAAAAGAATACAAAGTATTATGACTAAAATTATGGGGAAGATAATTCAAATTACTATATTTCATCTATCAAATACTCCAAGGGGATTAAATTTAAAAAGTATACCCCACAAATTAAAAAAAGAAAAGAAAAGCGGAATGTTTTTAAATTAATAAAGCAATAGAAGAAATAAGCCAGATTAGTATGACTATCTAAAAATTTAAAAACTTTAATTAAAAATAATAAAATATAACAAGATGAAATGGAAGTAGCAGAATGGAAAAATACTTGAGATGGTTAAAAATTTATTATTACAGTATATGGGGACATTTCTCAGATTAAGTTCAGGAGAACTTGAGGTCTTATGGCTCACAACATGGAAACAAAATAGCAAAAGCACTGACCCATTTCATCTCTAGATAATTTAAAATTCATTCTTAAAGTTGTGAAATAGATACCTAGTAAATGAACAAATATAAGAATTATATAAAAATCCTAGCAAGATGGGCTGGGGTTGTGGCTTAGTGGTAGAGCACTTGCCTAGCAAGTGTGAGGTACTGGGTTTGATCCCCAGCACCACATTAAAAAAATAATAATAATAAACAAATAAAATGTTTGTAATTTTTCTTTTTTTAATATTTATTTTTTAGCTTTAGGTGGACACAATATCTTTATTTTATTTTTATACGGTGCTGAGGATCGAACCCAGTGCCTCACACATGCCAGGCGAGTGCGCTACTGCTTGAGCCATATCCCCAGCCCCTGTAATTTTTCTTATTTGTGTACTATTTGACCACTTGTAACAGGAATCATTAAAAGGATTACTTTTAATCTAGTAATCTTACTTTTGGAAATTTACCTCAGGGAAAGAATTTAAAGGAAAGAGAATCTCATGTGGAGATCTTTTAAAACAGCATATTTATATAACAAAAAACATCAAAAGGAAAAACAGAAAAGCTTTGAAACCATCCCAAGTACACACAATTATAGTGATGGTTGAAATATGGGGCATCCATTAAGTGTTGTAAAGTGTATGTTATGTACAATCATGGAAGTTTACTTGTTAAATAATAAGTAAAACAATAGGATGCAAGATTTAATGTAGGCTAGACTTGCCAATTTGTGGAGATTGTTAATTCATAGCAACAATCATTGTTTTAGTATAAAATAATTGGTAAATTTTACATTAAGTCATAAGTGTGAAGGAAAATTCATGATAGGATTTTCATTTGTGTAGTCATGTCCCCCATCAACCCAGAGACTCTAAAAATCCCCTAACAGGGCTGTAGGGATAACTCAGCCCTGCTAAAGACCCTGGGTTTTGGGTTTGGTCTGTAACACTGCAGAAAACCCCTCACAGTTTACCTGTTGTGCATTTATCTTACAGTGCTTGTTTCAGTTTCTGGTAAATGTTTCTCAGAGTGGGAAACCTGGGAAGCCCAGCATTGCAGCAGTCTCTGTCAGTACCCAGCACAGATCTGTTCTACAAATTAATGATACCCTGGAAGAGAAAGAAGTTTGTAGGTTCGTTTTTGCTTTGATGTGATCTAATTGAAGTCTGAGTTTTCTCTCTACTTTTTTTCTTATGTGGTTTTGTTTTTACTCTCTTAAATATATTTTATCTCTACTGATCTATACCCAGAAAGGAATATCATTTTCCCTTGGTGAATTGGGAAAGTCCAACTCTGTCCCTAATCTAGCCATTTGTCATATTTTTATCTCATCCTTTTAGGCTGGAATACAAATTTGGAGAATTTGGAAACTATTCTGTCTTGGTAAAGGACACTTACAATGGAGTCAGTGAAATTGCGTGTGACCTAGTTGTTAATAAGAATCCAGTTGACAGTGACCTTCGTATGTATATGCTCTTCGTTGATTTTTTTTTTTAAATTTGCATTTCCGGAGGTTTTAGTTTTTGAGTACTCTTTGTAAATTGAAGCAGTCTATAGCATATAAATGAAAATCTGGCTTACAGATATCTATACCATTTAGTTTTGGTATGATTATATTTTTGTTTGGTGCTAGAAATAGAACCCTTAGGATTTGTGTTTGGTAGTAAGCACTTGTCATGCCTCCCAGCCCAATTGTAATATTTTTTTATTGTGTCACTGATGTACACTAAGAAAATTAGGTGATATATTAAAAATTGTATAATATATCAACATATCCCCATATCATTATTAAGCTTAATTATGAATCATAAATAAATAAAAAAATTAATTCAATGGAAAGAAGTAAGAAATAGGATAATTGGCTTTCCTTGTTTTAGGATTTAGGGTGTAGTATTTCCTGTATGTGTCTACTGATAATGAGCCCAGAGGTTCCCTTTACATTAAGAAGGGATTATTCATTCTATAATAATTCCATTGAAGAAAATTTGTCATCCTGAGCTCTCCATTAGATAATTGTTCTCTTGCCTTTCAAGACACAGTAATGAATCCCTGTGGCACTAATATACACAGTTCACAGAGAAATATCAGAGTCCAAAGTTATTGCAGAAGAATGTAGAAGACAATATGAAAGGACCAATATGGGACAATTTAAGCATTAAAAATAAAAATAAATGTCATTGATGAAAAATAATGGATACATAAAAACTATGGGATCATTATGAAATTAGAGTGAGGCCCCCTCCCCAATTAAAAACAAAAACAAAGTAATACTCTGGTTGTCTTTGGAGGTAACTAGGGCACTTGTGTTGACTAGGGTGATTTAAAAGTATCGGTTGAAAGGAAAGATTTAAACATTATCCTGTTTTAACTATAATTGAAAAAGATAACCAAATTGTACTAATTGATGAGCATGGCTTCTTTTTAGAATCCCAGCTAATGTGGCCAAATGGTAGGTTATTTTGCAAGTCCTAATGAAATAATTTTGCAAAAATCCTCAGATGAAAGGGGAACTTTACACTGGAGGGATCAGGCTTTTACCAGCTTAACACATCTGCCAGTTACATGGTCAATTGCAGAAGTTGCTTCTTCAGTACTAGAAAATTTTTGTTAAATTTTGTAACACCTTGTAGTTATATTAAGGAAATAGTTCATTTTAAAGAAACTTTTGATTTTGAAATAGTTTTAGGTTACAAACATGTTGCAAACAAAACAAAACAACTCCTAAATACCCTTTACCTGGCTGCCCTTATACCCTTAAACTGTATAATCATAGTAAGAGTAGTTCATGTGCAATTATTGAAACCAGGTGCTTAACATTCTTATAATACTGATCTATTTAGGCTTATTTAAATTTTTCAAATTGTCCCTTTTGATGTCCATTTTCTGGTGCAGGACCAATCTAGGATCCATGTACATTTAGGTGTCAGTTCTTCCTTCATCTCATTCAATCTAGGACAGTTTCTCAGCCTTTCCTTTTCTTTCATGATCTTGACAGTTTTGAAGAGTACTGGCTAGTATTTTATAGATTGTCCCTGGATTTGGAGTTACTTGATGTTTTCTCATGAGTAGGTAAAGTAGGTAAAGGTTTTGCATTTTTTGGTAGAATACTACCAGAGCGATGTTGTCACCTTTTAGGTATGTTATGTCAGGAAGTTCATGAGGTTGATGTCTTGTAGAGGTTCATCTGCATTAGAGGTACATACTGAATGCATACTGAATACTGTAGGGGTATAGGGACGTGATGTCTGGGATTGATTTTAAAATACATTACCACCCCCCCCAAAAGGGAGGAGAGTTAGTAATAGATGAAGCGAATGATATCTTTTTCTTTTTCTTTTTTCTTTGTTTTCTTTTTGCAGTGCTGGGGATAGAACCCAGGTCTCACTCTTGCTAAGCAAGTGCTCTGCCACTGAGCTAACCCCCAGTCCTGAGAGTGACAATATCTTGACAATGCTAGAATTTGAGTGGTGGATATATATGGGTTTATTTTACAATTCCCTATAATTTTGTGTATGTTTGATATTTTTCATAATAAAAATTAGTACTCCCCTCATGCAGAGTAGTTTCTTGTTTATAGGAAATTTAATATAAAAATGTAGGCTTTTCCTGTATTGTTTTCATTTTTAATTGATAGGTTAGATTTAATGATGTGACAACTTTGGTTCCTATGATGACATTTTTGGTGATAATGTCTTTCTTTTTATAGCTGTGAGTATTGCGTTCCTTATTGGTCTGTCCCTCGTCATTGCAATATCCTTCCTAAGGCTGTTGCTGAGGTAAGTTGTTGGAGAGGAAATGACTGTGGAGGACAGAACACAGAGATAATATATTCAGAAAGGATAGTTTGATCCCTCAAATGACTATTATTTGATCCTAGCAGAGTCTCTAAAAACATACAAACATGAACGTTATTATTTGATTAAGTGAACATTTGTGTGTCTACCGTGTCTGTTCTAGTCCTAGGCATTAAAATCAATGTAGACTAAGATATGGTCTCTGTAAGGAAATTTTGACAAAAGTTCTCATGAATGTTTGCCTTCCATCCTCCCACGTGGCCAAAAATAAAGAAAACACTTGAGTAATAATTTTTTCCTAAATAATCTCCCATCCTGCTTTTCAGTGAGTGGAAGTGGCTTGTGATAATTTTAGGAGGAGGCTGCTGTGTTGTGCTCTCTTCCTCCTCTTAGCCTCTGAACCCTGAGGCCACCCCTCTGTCCAACTTTCCTTTCCTCTCCCAGGCCAGGAACTGGGGGCAAAGAGGGAGGATGAGGGGCTGTACTTCAGAATCCCACAGACTCCCTTTTGTAGAGTTGCTCACTTGAGGGATTTGTTCTTCTCTGCCTAGTTAACAGCCAGTCTGGTGAATGAATTAGTAGACTAGAGAAGAAAAAATTTGAACATAGAATTGATCCAGACCTGGTTGAAGCAAAGTTTTTTAGTGTTTTAAAAGGAAGAAGATTGATTGGAATAAAAGGAATAAGATCGATCCTGTTAGGATATCAGGAAGGATCAAAAGACTATTGGTGAACTGTATCTAAATTGGAAAAATGAAAACCTCACCTTTGCTGGGCATGAGGACTCACTCCTGTAATCCCATCACTTCAGGTGGCTGAGGCAGGAGTATCACAAGTTTGAGGCCAGCTCAGCAATATAGTGAGGCCTTGAGCAATTTTGTGAGACCGTGTCTCAAAATAAAAATTTAAAAGGGCTGGGGATGGGGTTCTGTAGTAAAATGCCCCTGGGTTCCATCCCCAGTACAAAAAAAAGTTGATTAGCTTGAGGAAATCTTAAAACTTTAGGGGAATTTATGCACCATTTTCCTTCTAGCTTGTGCATCTTAGAAATAGTTTAATTCCTTGTATGCAAAACTTGACTGGTATAAAAAGGTAAAAGAACTTCTTGCTTCATAGAAGCACATGTTTAACCTAATGGCTTTTTAGGGGCAGAATAGAATTCTAGGAAGAGAATAAAATTCAGAGGAGTTCTGGTTTTTCATACATTTGAATCATTGGGGTATAATTTCTCATTTTTCTGATTGTACAGATTGCAGAATCACACTGGTCGTAGAGTCACCTATATTCCAGTGTCTGTCTTGTTAATGTGCTTTCACTTGAGGTGCTTATCTGTGAATGGTTCTGTTCCATTTCTTTTTAAAGTAATTGAGAGCTGAGCTCAAGCACTTGCAAAGAGAAGTTCCATCTTGTCCCACTGTGGGGCTGAAACTTCTATTGCATGTGGTTCTTCCTCTCCTGCCTGTGGGCAGAGTGTTACTCTCCACAAAACTACAGTCCCTTACTCTTGCTCCATTGCTTTCCAACATACCCATGGAAGTCTGGGGAAGTTAGTATTAGTAGGAACCAGAAGAGAAGCAGCAAAGGTAGAAAGAACAAAGTCTCTCTGCTTTCACTTGGAGAACAAGCACGTGCAAGAGAATTACCACTTCTCCTTTTTGCCTTTCCTTAAGTATATCTATTTTAAGATTTTTCATGTGATAGTGACACTATTAATGCTGAATAAACTAGAAATGGGAGTTGTGTTGTAGGAGTAAAAGAGAAATTACAAATGTGTGTGTTGTATGGATTATATTTTGATGCTGATTTGAACAATTGAACTGTCAAAAATAATTTACAGGATCAAAACTGAACTGGCTATGTGATGATATTAAGGAATTACTGCTTAACATATTAACATGATAATGTTTAGAAGAAAAAATTGTCCTTATCTTTTAGAGATACACATTGAATTATTTATGGATGAGATGAATGATTTTGGGGATTTTTCTATAAATTAATCATAAATGAGGGTGGTGGGTAGTGTATAGATGAAATAAGATTGACCGTGTGTGGGTATATTTGTTGGAGTTGAATGATGGCAATTCAGTGTGCTAGTTTTTCTCATTCTGTTTGAAATGTTTCATGACAGAACAAAAAGTTTTATGCATTAGGTAATTCAGATGTGGCAAAATTAATGCAACACATATCAGTGGTTTTGTTTTTTGCCAGGCTAAGGTACACTTTTTGAAAGTTTTTTTTTCCCCAGGTGAAAATGTTATTTAAAGAACAACCAGCTAATATATTTATATTTTTGTAATCATATAATAACTTAATGTCATCTGGATTTTTTTCCTGGATTAAATCAGCCATGTGGGGAAAAAGAACCCAATATAGTATTTGAATCATTACAAAGTTGCCTTCACACTTTTTCAGTGCACACACATGCATTTTTACTTAGTTGCAATCAACCATCTGTGTTGGGTTTTTGCTTTTCGTATATAATAGCTTATCTTCATTCTTTGTTCAGAGCCTATAGTCTTGTTATTCTCATCACTGTGTCATTGTATCACACAGGTGCTGTATCCTGTGTTGAGTCATTCTTATATTGAGTAAATATCGGTTGTTGCCAAATTTTTTGCTTTTTTAATTTTAATAATATCATTAATACTTTCACAACTCTTCATTAGAGGCTTCATCACTGTTTCTGTTTTACTGATGAGGAAGTTATTCTGTAAGGGGTCAAATACTTATAAGTATGGCTGCTATAAATTTTGATTTCTATTGTTATGTTGTTAAAAAACTTCTTCAGTGTTTAGCTCTTTAACTAATACAAATATGAACCTTCAATTAATTTTATTTCAATATGTTATCCAATTGTTTTGAAAATTATACCAAAGAAAATGAATTAACTAAAGCTTTTATTTATTTACAGTTTGGATGACTTCAGTAATTGGATTTCTAAGGCAATAAATTCTCGAGAAACTGATCGCCTCATCAATTCTGTGAGTTATTGGGATACATCATGTATTGTCTGGTTTTCTAAATTTGGAGTTTCTAATTTCCTATTTAGTAAATAGTATTGCCCAGCTCAATAAACTTTGTTTACATTATGGAAAAACCAGGTTGAGGATCCCAAATTTTTACCCCCATGGTGCTAGGGATTGAACCCAGGGCCTTGCACATGCTGACAAGCACTCAACCATTGAGCTACATCCCAGCCTGACCCATATCCTTAATAAAGAGCTGCCTAGTCCTCAGCTTCTGTGAAGGCTCCACCCTTTTCTTTCTTCAATGGGGACATTTTCCAGTCTGGAGGCAGCACTGTTCAAACCATTCAGTTAAGTAAAGATTGTCAAGATCAAAACCAAAGAATATGGGACATTAACATTAACTCTATAATTACCAATGGCCCACTCTAATGATTAAATATTGCATGAAATTTGTGCTAATAAATTATGGGCATGTTTGCTTCTGTCCTTGTACTTACTCAACAAAATGCACCAAAAGCAAATAAAGTGGAAAACCAAAATAAAACTAAACAAAACTAAATGATTATTCAGAAAACTATCTTTAGTTTTCCACTAATATTTTTTTCCTAATATATTGAGTAATGAAATTTACTCCTCCCTTTTATTGATTGTCTTCTCTTTCTCTATTTTTTCTAAAGGAGCTGGGGTCCCCAAGCAGGGCAGACCCTCTTAGTGGTGATATCCAACCAGAAATGTGGCGCCAGGTGGGCTCGCCATACCGTCTCCGTTGTGTGGACACATTCAGGGGGTATGTGAGGCTCCCTTGTGACATGGTGGGCACAGGTCCTTGATAGATTATGTAATTACACATAAACGCACTTAACTTGAGATATTTTTTACATATCCATTACTTTCTAGGCTAGAAAGTATTGTTTGGATATAAAAATAAAGTCTGCAGTCTTTCCTTACTTGAAAATTGTCAAGATAAGTGGTTGAGATATAGCTCAGTGGTGGAATGTGTGCTTAGCATATACAAGGACTTGAGTTTGATCCCCAGCACTGCAAATTTAAAAAATAAAGAAAATTGTTATGATGTCCATTAGAGTACATTGATAAGAGGAGTAGGACAAGGCCAGAGCCAGTTTCCACTACTGTATACAGCCTGCTGAGTTAAGGTCATTTGCATTTGAGCAAATGGCTATACTTGGGACTATAAACTGGGCCACCATGTCCAGTCAGTAGCTTGACAATTTAGAAGACATGCCAGTCCAGAAATGAAACACCAGCCTGTGGAAGAGTAAGTGGTCATCCTTCACTGTTGGTGGAACAATTTGAAAATCAGACTCTTTTGATAGCAAGTCCATAGTTAAACCATTCAGTTTTGTTTCATTTACATCTAAACATAGCCTGAAGGTAATTTCAGACAGTCTTTTTAGTGTGCCTGTTTTGTTTTGTTTGGTGCTGGAAATTTTGAATGTAGGGTTTCATACATGCTAAGCACATGTCCTGCCACTGAGCTACACTGCCAGCTCCATGCCTGCATTTTGACTGTGACTTGTCACATGAGGTCAGGTGTGGAATTTTCCATTCATGGCATCATTTCAGCACTAAAAAAGTTTTGGTTTTTGGAGCATTTTAGATTAGAGATACTCAAGTAAAAACAATATAGCAATAATGACAATAATAAAGTTGCTAACAGTTTTAAAGTTCTGTGTGCCAATGTGTTAGTCAGTTTTTCATCACTGTGACCACAATGCCTGACAGGAACAACTTAGAGGAGAAAAAGGTTATCTTGTGGTCATGTTTTCAGAGGTTCAGTCCATGCATGATTAACTGACTCCATTGCTCTGGGCCCAGGTGAGGCATAACATCATGGTGGAAGGGTGTGGTGAAGGAGAGCTGCTCAGCTCATAGCAGCAGAGGACAGGGACAAAATATATTCCCCAACTGATCTATTTCCTTCAGCCACGCTCTATCTGCCTTCAGTTACCACCCAATAATCCAGCAAATGGATCAGTCCACTGATTAGGTTATGGCTTTTGTAATCTAATCAGATCTTCGGGCATTGCCACATGAACTTTTTTAGAGATATCTCATATCCAAATAACAGCTATCACTTCCCTAACTTGTCTTAATTTATTTAGTCTCTTAACATTCCTATAGGTATACACTTTTAAATTTATTTATTTATTTATTTTTAGTTGTAGATGGACACAATACCTTTATTTTATTCATTTATTTTTTATGTGGTGCTGAGGATCAAACCCAGTGTCTCACATGGGCTAGGCAAGTGCTCTAGCAATGAGCCACATTCTAGCCCCAGGTACACACTTTTAATATGCCTGTTTCACAGATGAATTGAGCCAGGGGTAAGTAATTTTCCCATGGTCACTCAGGTACTAAAGCCAGAATTTGATTCCAGTTAGTTGAGTTACAGAGGCCCCACAGATTATTCCCTTATATACTAAAGTCTTTATTTTCTGCATTCTGCACAGTTAGCACCAAATGATAGCATATTCAGAATCTACTGTTTTCTTCTTTCTTTCCAATCATCATTGCTAGTTTTGAAGATAAGATATTTACAGGTGAACAGAAGCTAGCATTTATTAAGCGCCCCAAATGTGCCAACCACATAGTCATGTGGTAGGGTATTGTACAGAGTTAATTGAATCTTAGTGTAAAGTCTCATGACTAATAAGAGAAAAAGACTCAGGATATGAATCCTTAGCTCTTTGATTCCAGTGACTCTGTACCTTCTATAACAGTTCTTTAACCTGAGACATCAAATTATTGGCACACAATTGAGTTACTGGAAATGTTTTGCTGTGTTCCCAAGTTATATAGCTTAGTAGTAAAGTACAATTTTTTTTTAAAACATGTTGGAAATATTTGCAACAGAACATTAGTGGATGATCCTAATTGTTGTGAAAATTGTTGTGGACAATAGTGTCTTGCCTTTATATTTCTTCTGGTGATACAAACTGCTGTGTAGAATCACATTATTGCATGACTAACCTTGTGAGTATAAAGGAATGTCTTGGAGTTCAACCATTCTTTGTCACCTTGCACACTGTGAAAGTGTTCTTTTTGTTGACTTTACAGGCTAGCTCTCATACTCATGGTTTTTGTTAATTACGGAGGAGGAAAATATTGGTACTTCAAACATTCGAGTTGGAATGGTAAGTTACCTCAAGGTAACTTTGCTTGCAGTTTCATTCAGAGAACTGGCATCTGAAGAATCATTCAGCATTTCCTCTAAGGGCTTCAGAGATGAGGCCCTACAACCTCTTCTGAGCTATTGAGCTCTTTCCCCCAGAGAATGACCTTTAGATTTTTCTGTGGGCCCTTTAGTTTAATTCTTGTGTGCTGCGGATCTCTAATGTGTGAATCTGATCTCTAATGTGTGGATGCTTCACTAGAGTAACAGAAATATTTCTGCTGACACTTGGAACTCAGCAGAAGATGTGAAGAATTTGGTTTTAAATGATCATTGTCATAGATATGACAGCTACCATATTCTTGGGGAGTCTATCTTTTAAGACTCATGGTCCTTTTTGGTGCTATCAAACTGGGATTGATCTGAGTGGTGCTGAATCATAGCTGTAATCTGGCTTGGCAGTTGGTTTAAGAATAGATTTTCTAGGAACCAAGAGAATCATTTAGAATACTTACCTGTTACGGACCACTGATTTTTTTTTTTTGTACTGAGAATTGAACAGAGAGGTGCTTAACCACTAAACCATATCCCCAGTCCTTTTAATTTTTTTATTTTGAGACAGGATCCCACTAAGTTACCTAGGTCCTTACTAAGTTGCTGAGCTGGCTTTGAACTTGGCGATCCTCCTGCCTCAGCCTCCAAAGTTGCTGGGATTACAGGTGTGCATCACTGCACCTGGCTGGACCAGTGATTTTTGTGAAATTCCAGTAGTCTTTGTCCTGGACAGTTCATATATGTAGAGGGCTGGGGAAAGATTTTATATATCTATCTATCTATCTCATTGTGATCATGTTTGACCATTGGTACCCAGGTTCCATGTATTGATTCCTGGGAGGGAATTAATGATGTCATTGCAGGTCCATGGGTAAGGCACCTCTGCATCAGATCTGGAGCCCAAATTCTTGTAGGACCCAAATTGTATTCAAGTATTTATTTTAAAACAAAAGAGTCATGTCTCCCATTTGTGCCTAAATGTTAGCTCCTTTTTATGCAGCTGAATATTTACAGTTACATTGTCCATTAGACATTCTGCTGCAAAACAGAGAACATCTCGGGGGGTGGGGGGAAGCAATAAATTTTGAATAGCATTGTATAAAGCTAGCAAACTTGTCTACATACTTGTAATTTGTTGTCCCATGTTTAGATATGGTCAGGAAATGTTCCAAGCCTGTGGAATGGCTGCAGAGTCTCAAGAGAGTTTGTGTGTGTGTGTGTGTGTGTGTGTGTCCTCTATGTTAGTTGTACTTTCTGTGTCAATTACAATTATGTTCATTTTGAATTTAAGAAGTATTTATATTCAAGAATCCTCTTTCCATTTGTGCTTGTGTTATTCTGCAGGACTGACAGTGGCTGACCTTGTGTTCCCATGGTGAGTTGGCATTCTAACCATCAGCTCTTCCATGGGGCATCTCTAGTTCTTTCTTTCAAATGATGCTGGAGGCCTTCTCTGAGACCAGCCTTGAGTTCTGCACCATAGGCCTGTGTTGGCTGTTACAGAGTCCTTCCAAAAGTTGCATCAATGGGTTGTTTTTATACTTGGCTTCATGTTTGTGCATGTGTGTAGAAAAGATAAGTGTTTTTTGTTTTTCTTTTGTGGCTCTGGAGATTGAACCCAGGACCTTGTGCACACTAAGCACATGCTCTCCCATAGAGCTACAGCTCTATTCCAAAAGATGAGTGATTTTTTAGGGAACATTATGCTGAACAGATAGGATATACTAGATCCTAAAATCCTATATTATAAATTTTGAATATATAGTTAAGTTCTACTAGTCCAAAAATGCATATAAAATCATATTTTCTGAAAGAAACATAGTATGTCTGTGAATAATGATAAATATGTAGCAAGCAGTGACAGTAATAAATTGAAATTTATTATAATAGTGCTACCCATACTCTGTTCATCCAGGGCTTCTCATTTTTGTTCAGGGACACTTTGTATATGTTGTGCAATTTGTGTCTTTGCTGTGATGCTTTGAGCACCTTAGCTCCATCATTAAGAAACAGTACCAGAAGATTGTTATATATCGTTGGTTCCATTTTTTATCACTGATGAAGTCTTGATTTTTTGAGATGCATATGGGTAGGGCAGTTTTACATAGGTGAAGACCTGGTAGTTCTCTCTTTTTTTGAATTGATTTTTTTTTTAAAAAAAAATAGACAACAGCAGAATGCATTACAATTCTTATGACACATATACAACACAATTTTTCATATCTCTGGTTATATATAAAGTATGTGTACACCAATTCGTGTCTTCATACATGTACTTTGTATAATGATGTCCATCACATGCCACTGCCCTTGCTAATACCCTGTCCCCTCCCTTTCCCTCCCACCCCTCTGCCCTATCTAGAATTCATCTATTCCTCCCATGCTCCCCCTCCCTATCCTGCTATATCAGAGAAAACATTCAGCATTTGTTTTTTTGGATTGGCTAACTTCACTTAGCATTATCTTCTCCAACTGCATCCATTTACCTGCAAATGCCATGATTTTGTTCTCTTTTATTGCTGAGTACAATTCCATTGTGTATATATGCCACATTTTTTTATCCATTCATCTACTGAAGGGCATCTAGGTTGGTTCCACAGTTTAGCTTTTGTGAGTTGTGCTACTCTAAACATTGATGTGAAGTGGACAGAGAGCATACATCTGGGAGCAAGTTTTTACCCCTCACACATCAGATAGAGCACTAATATCTAGGGTATATAAAGAACTCAAAAAGCTAAGCACCAAAGAAACAAATAACACAATCAACAAATGGGCCAAGGATCTAACAGACACTTCTCAGAAGACGATATACAATCAATCAACAAATATATGAAAAATGTTCATCCTCTCTAGCAATTAGAGAAATGCAAATCAAAACTACTCGAAGATATCATCTCACTCCAGTCATAATGGCAGCTGTTATGCATACAAACAACAATAATTGTTGGCAAGGATGTAGGGAAAAAGGTACACTCATATATTGCTGGTGGGACTGCAGATTGGTGCAAGCCAATATGGAAAGCAATATGGAGATTCCTTGGAAATCTGGGAATGGAACCACCATTTGACCCAGCTATTCCTCTCCTTGGTCTATAACCAAAAGATTTAAAAACAGCATACTACAGGGACCTGGTAGTTCTCTAAGTATATTCCCTGTGGGATTCCCTATAGGAAAGTTCCTGTTTGTAGAGGAATTTTCTGATTAGATTGATCCTAGAAAGGAAGCCAAGGCACCTCTGAGAATACAGCAAGAGCAAGTTCTCACTTCCATAACCCTTTGCAAAATAACTAGGAAACTTAATATTAGAATTTTCATTAAAGAGAGAATTTTGCATGATAAAAGAAAGGGGAAATACGTGTGACTAAATGGAGAAAAAAGTTAAGCTTTCATTTTTGGAGGGAGCAGGAGTGGATTTAGAAATGATTGAAGTGTTTGGCTTGTTTCTCAAGGTCTGTGAGGGTATGCTAATAAAAAATCAGTTGTTTGGATTGTGGCATCTTTCTTATAATTTCTCTTTGACAACTGTTTGGGAGAGTTGTCCTTGGCAATTCCACTTAATACTAAAGAAGTTTCCTCCTAAAATAGAACTTGGATATATGTTGTCAAAACCTCACAGCCCACCAGGACTATGTTCTGATTCTTTTCTATGTTATTAGCCCAGCTTGATTTCATAATTGGCTACTTTAAACTGAATGTACTGCTTCTATCATGTAGTATATTATAAAATATTAATGATATTTAGATAAAAAATTAGTAATTGACCACCTATTTTTAACCCACTTTTTATTATTGGTGCACTGTAGTTGTACATAATGATGGGGTTTGTTGTTACATATTCATACAAAATGACCACCTATTAATAGCATGTTTTGTTTTTTAGGTTTGTATTTATTATGGGATCTTCAATTTTTCTATCAATGACTTCTATACTGCAGCGAGGATGTTCAAAATTCAAATTGCTGGGGAAAATTGCATGGAGGAGTTTCCTGTTAATCTGTATAGGAATTTTCATCGTGAATCCCAATTATTGTCTTGGTCCATGTAAGTGTTTTTTTCCCTTTTGTTGGTATATATTCACTTGAAAGTAGAAAAATCATGTTATTATTTATTTATTTATTTTTGTGGTGCTCGTAATGGAACCCAGGTCCTTGCAGATGCTGGACAAGTGCTGTACCTCTGAGCTACACCCCCCAGGCCTATATGTTGTAATTTGAAAGAAATGTAATTCCTCCATCTCAGGTACCTGCAAAAAGAACAACTTTAGAAAAATACATACAATACTTGTGTAACTTTGGGCATCATCAACATTATTATTATCTTGGAATTTTAGACCTGGCAGCAATCCGTACAACTACTCAAACTCTCCTGTTGTATGAGAGAAATATCCAATGCCAAGAAAGATTGATGTGTTTTCTCTGGATCGTGAGGAGCAGGGCAGAGGGCCAGACCAGGTTACCTTGCTCTCAAGGCCCTGCTCTGCCATTTTGGATTCCCCAACTTATAGTTTGGGGTGATAGTTTAAGAATTTACCTTCATCATCCCTTGTATGCTAACTGGCTGTCTGGGAAGGATGATATCTTTGTTATTACTTTGTTGGTTGCAGTGAGTGAGATAGGATAGCTGAAGAAAGGATATCAATTCTGCACTTTATACCAGTATCAGAATCAGGAAAGGCAGTAGTCACTGTCCTCAAGGGGCTTACTCTGTCATTAGCAAAAGAGGACACAAATGTCTGGGTAGTAGCCAATCAAGCCCCCAGGCAATAAGTCATTTTATTGAAAGGCTATAGGCACTAAGAGGAAGTAGAGATCATTTCTGGTTGATGTCCCCTAAAAGCAGATTTAATGCATTTCCAAAGAATGAGCCATTGCTCCCAGTAGTATTCATCACAGGGTTTGTTATAGGGTTGTACTCTTCCATTGGTACAGTCCCGGAGCTTGTTGGGCAAGGAGAGTCAGTCACTGTCTTGTGTTGGGTCTGCAGATTCCTGGTGGATTTGAAGGCCAAAGGTTATCTTTGTTTTATCTTTGTCCCCTGAGTAAGACACCTTTGTTCTTGGTCTCCCAGTCGGCCAGCTTCATATTTTGAGGATGAGCCATATTCCTGACCATCCTTCTGATGAACGTATTGGTCTGTTCTTGGAGCTTGGATTTGAGCCTTGTCTTCTGACTATGTATATTTCTGCTTCAAGAACTTAAAAAGACTTATTTAGATGTAATAAGAGTATGTCTTCCCTCATTAAAAAAGTAAATTGTTTTGGGATGCGATGAGAAATTTTGGGTAATCCCTTACCTAACTTGTATCTTCTGCAGTGTCTTGGGATAAGGTGCGAATTCCTGGTGTCCTGCAGCGGTTGGGAGTAACTTACTTTGTGGTTGCTGTGTTGGAGCTCCTCTTTGCTAAACCCATGCTTGAAAATTGTGTTTTGGTGAGAAATCACGGTTTTGTTGTTGTTTTGTTTTTTTTAAAAGAGACATGAAAAAGTTCACTTTTTAGTTTTTAGTGTTTTTTTTAAGTTCTGATTATAATAGTGTTTGTACTAATCAAATGTATTCCTTCCCTCCTTTATTAAGCTATTTTTATTTAATCTCTATCATTGTTATTATTATTATTTTTTTTTTTTGCATGCTTGGGATTGAACCCAGGGCCTGATGCATGCTAAGTAAGTGCTCTACCATTGAGCCACATCCTTAGCCCCCTGATTTCTTTTTAACTAATATTTTTACTGTTATATTTCAGAGTCAGAGAGAAAGAGAGAGATAGACAAACTTTATATTATTAGATAAAAATTTGAATTACTGCTATAGAGATCAAAAGAATAATCACTTGGAATTTCCCAAATACGTGTGCTATTCTGTTTGCATTTGGTTTATATGTGTTTTTTTCTTCTGCCCTCAGGAGAGAAGCTGCCCTTTTCTTCGAGACATCACTGCCAGCTGGCCCCAGTGGCTCTTCATTCTGATTCTGGAAAGCATTTGGCTGGGCTTAACGTTCTTATTACCAGTTCCTGGGTGCCCTATGTAAGTGAACCCTTGCCCTACATAAGTAAGCCCTTTTCATATGTCACTTTCTGCCAAGTGAGAGGTTCTGGGCTTTCAGCTTTCAAATTTCTCAAGTCAGAGGAATTCTATTTCACTCTTCTCCTTTGGGGCATACTTGGCATTGGGAGGGAAGTTTGGTGTTTGGTCAGCTTGTGTAGAAATTGTGTTTACTACCTTATCCATGCGGGGAGCCATTAAGTCAAAAGAGCATTAATGAGAGTGCTTGGAGCCAGAGGGATGCTTATACATGTTTGAGGATCTTTGAATTGGGCGGCATATAGTCACTATATACCACTCTGTCTTCTGAAGTCTTATAATTTTTTTTTAGTTGAACATGGACTCAATACCTTTGTTTTACTTATTTATTTTATGTGATGCTGAGGATTGAACCCAGTGCCTCACATGTGCAAGGCAAGCGCTTTACCACTGAGCCACAACCCTAGCCCCTGAAGTCTCATAATTTAAGTATGTTTTTCACTTTCCTAGTGGATATCTTGGCCCTGGTGGTATTGGAGATTTTGGGAAATATCCAAATTGTACAGGAGGAGCTGCTGGCTACATTGATCGCCTGCTTCTGGGAGATGATCATCTTTACCAGCACCCTTCTTCCGCAGTACGTGAGACTGGCAAGTCCTTGGACCTGGGAAACTTAGGGTCTCCAAAGTGAGGGAAAATAAAAAGAACCATCAGTTTTAGACCATGCAAAATGTTCAGCTATGTAAAATGGGATGGAAACTAAAAGTTGTCTACCTTAATGACTTCAGCATTCATTATGTGGCAGTAGATGAACATTATTTTTAAGGATAAAGTGATAATGCATTGTATTAAATGAGTAGCACTTTAGTGCTTTTCTATATATCTCAGGTTAGATTTCTAGGCAGTGGAGTTTGAGAAAGAGCTTCATGTGCTAGAAGTGTAGTGGGAAATCCTTGGTATATCAATCCCTGTTGAAGAATGAAGGAAGCGGGACTTGGTTGAGGGAGAAGCTGAACTGCACTGTGGTTCTGACAAAAGCCCCAGTTAATCTCATTTGGAGCTGGGGGCACGTCAGAACTGCTCTGTGTGTGCTGAGAAATTAGGCCCTTTATATTCCTTGTCAGATATGAACTGCTTCCAACAAAGGGGTGATTCCTAGATAGGTAGACTTCTCCCCCCACCCTCACCTTGCTGGGAATTGAACCCAGGGTCTCGTGCATGTTAAGCAAGTGCTCCACCACTGAGCCATGTACCTGGCCTAGCAGCTGACTTTAGTCACAGACAATCCGGAAGAGAAACTTGGATGAGAACTTTTGGCAATTAATATTTCTAGCAGCTGGGGTAATGAATGCTTTAGTCCTGAAAGGGTTGGAGGGATCTTGATGGTGCGCTACAGCATTTACTACCCTGAGTACTTCCAAATTTCTACATTTTCAGCATTTATTTTATAATAAAAAATACAAGTATATTTTATTTTATATTTGTTTTATTTTATTTTGGGAGGTGCTGGAGATGAACTCTAGGCCTTGTACATGCTAAGCATGCACTCTACCACTGAGCTACACCCCCCCACCCAAATGTATTTTTAGGGGTTATTTGCCTTAAAAGAAGATAGAAGAAGATAGGAAGCTATTGATGCTATAATAGGTTTGGTAAAAAAGAAAATAAGTATGCATATTACAAAGACTAATATATTGCACCTGAAACTTGTCAGGCTTGTGGAACCAGGCTTATTCCAAGCCAGATGGAGTTGAAGTAGCTGCTGTTGAACTATGGCTTATCCCTGGTGCTGTGCATTCCCTATATATACCTTTCATAACCTGGAGTATTTTGCCTAGAATCTCCATAAGTTAGGGTAATGGATTTCTGTAGCAAAATCCAAAAGAAAAAAAAAAGGAACCCAGAAACATTGGAAACACTAGAATTCTTTCAAGTTTGCATTTAATCTAAGAATTTCTTACATTAATTTTTGTGGTCAGTGAGTAAGTGCTACTTTCTTGTTCTACTTTGTTAAGGTCCTTTATCACACTAAGGTGGCCTACGATCCAGAAGGAATCTTAGGAACCATCAATTCCATTGTGATGGCATTTTTAGGAGTTCAGGTATTTATTTATTTTATTAGGATATGTTTTTCTAACAGCTTATGATTATTGATTCATCACTAATTTGAAAGCATTTCAATAAAACAAAGCAATTACAAGCATTTCCTCTGTGTTACTGGTCTAATAAATTTTATTTGGGTTTGTCAGATTGTGCAAAACTAGGATTTGTTAAAATTGAGCACAAATAGTTAGATATAATTATTATATTCTAAAAATATTATTTATGTGGCTTATCTTAGTCCCATAATTTCTGGATAAAAGATTTCCCTGTGGGATATGCAGAGTGGATATTGGTAACCTTAGGAAGTCACCATGTCACTTATCACATTTCTTTCTGTCTTGGAATGTTTGTGCTTCTGTGATAAAACTGAGACTGGATAATTTATAAAGAACAGAAATTTCTTTCTCATAGTTCTGGAGGATGGGATGTCTACAATCAAGGTGCTGGTACTGACAGTTTCTTTGCCTGGTGAAAGTCCGGTCTCTGCTTTTGAGAAGGCACCTCAAACAGTGTGTTCTCCAGAGGGACAAGCACTATGTCCTGTGTGGTAGAAAGTGGAAGGGCAAAGACAAGGAACATTTTATCTTGAGACTTTTTATAAGGACATAAAATCTCTCATACATAATCACCTCCCAGAGGCTCTGCACTCTTTTCAACTTAGTGTTTAGCTATACACACGTGCATTTGGTACTGGGGATTGAACCCAGGGCTTCACCCATGCTAGGCAAGTTCTCTACCCCTGAGCTATATTCCCAACTCTTTTAAATATTTTATTTTGAGACAGGTCTCGCTAAATTGCCCAGGATGGCCTTGAACTTATCATCTTCCTTTGTTAGCCTCCTCAGTGTGTGTACCACAGCTAGACATAGTATGCATGTATATTATTATAAATTATAATTGACAAGGTCAATACAGGTTATTCTTAATCTATCTCACATGAAATTTTGTTAAAATTCTGAGTAGTCTCTATTTTTCTTCCAAAAGTTCTTACTGGTGATATTCATTTTTCAGGGAATGAACTGAGAGTGTTAAAATGTATAAATCAGTGCTAATAGAACTTTTTGCAGTGATGGGAATTTTTATCTGTGCCATCCATTAGGGCAGCCTCTTGCCTGGATAGCTCTTGAGTAATTGAAATGTGACTAGTATGACTAAGGAACTGAATTTTAAATTTTACTTCTTTTTAATTAATTTAATTCAAAATATAAATAGTCATATGTGGCTGGTGGCTCCTATATTGATCCAAACCATGTATATTTTGGTGATTAAATAATTTTATAGTTATAAATCCTGCCTTTATCTCTATAGCACTTTATATTATGATTTTACATATATTCCTTGAACCTCACTGTGTGCTCTCTAGGTCAATCTGTGCCTGTTGGAGCAGTCAGTCTAATGTAGAGGTTAAGAGTGCAGACCTAGAGCTGCACTGCCCAGCTTTGAATCCAGCTCTGCCACTTGATAACTGGGTAACCTCAGGCATATTACTTGACCTCTCTGGCTTTAGTAGCATAGTGAATAGAGATGTTGAGAAGATTAAATAATTTGTATATAATTCTTTGAACTGGCACATAAAAAGTCTGCATAACTTGTAGCTATTATAAATTATTATTAACACTTTCTCATCCTCTGATATTTCCAAAAATTAATTTTCAATTTAATGCAAAGACCTATTTTAGTGTTTTTAGTTTACCTGCCCACACTTCCATTCTGTCTCTATCCCTCTTTTGTAATGCTGCCAGATGGGATGAGCTAGCAGACTAGTCTGAGCTGGATCCTGTCATTTGGGGGAAAACTTTCCTTGGCTACCTATCACCTATGAAAGAAAGAGCCTGCTTGAAGCAAGACCTACAAAGCCTACCACCTTTTTGCAAGACGTACATAGCCTCCCTCTATCTTTATGCAGCCCTTTAGAGATGCTGTGGTGCTTTTCCACTCTTTTTGACATGCTTCTGTGCATGCTGTTCCATTATGCTCAGAGTGTCCCTCCTGCTTCACCATCTCATGATTGTAGCCTCAGCTCAAGGGTACCACGTCTCAGATGTCTCCCTCCTTCCCTGAAGAGGTACCTCATCTTTTTTTGGTCTCTTGTTTCTCTCAGTCTCCACTAGTTGAGGGCAGAGGTAAAATTTCATTCTTCCTGTGATCCCAGTGTCTGAAAGTGTGCTTTGTTGAGTGATTGAAAAAACGGGTGAATATGAAATAAGAATATATATCTTAAGTGATTCTCTTGGTCATATTATTTTCTTTTCTAGGCAGGAAAAATACTATTGTATTACAAAGATCAGACCAAAGACATCCTCATCCGATTCACTGTCTGGTGTTTTATTTTAGTAAGTAATGGACATTCCTTATTAAGGAATGGGATTGGGCTGGGATTGTGGCTCAGAGGTAGAACACTTGCCTAGCACATGTGAGGCACTGGGTTCGATCATCAGCACCACATTAAAAATAAATAGATTAATTAAATAAAGGCATTGTGTTCATCTACAACTAAAACTTTTTTTAAAAAAAGATTGATTTTCTTCACACACATGTATATTTAAAAAGAAATAAAATGTTTAGCAACACTGGCACAGCAGCTGTTACCACATTGTGATAGGGAATATGCTTCATTTGAATAACAGGAACAAATTTATTTATATATATATATATATATATATATATATATATATATATATATATATATAAATTTTTGGTGCTAGAGGTCAAACCTGGAGCCTCCTGCATTGTAAGATCATATTCTACCACTGAGCCCCACCCCCATTCTCAAGAAGGAACAAATCCTTACATCTAAATTTTCAGATTTATCTTCTTAGAAGGATATGTTTTTAAATAAGACAATGTTTCCATCAAACACTGGAATGAGAAATGCCTGAAGAAATGTATGAGGTATGGCTTCTGCATGTTTATCAGAAAGACTAGGTAAATAACAACAATTTTGTAAATCCCAACTTCCAGATTTATATGTAGAAAAATAACTGAAAGTTTGATTTTTTTCCTTTAGTCTTGCAATCATGTTTCCTCTTAGAATTCACTATAATTTATCAGTTAGCTTCCCTTCTTCAACTCAGAGGAATACTGCAGATTTTTAGTAATCTCCATACTGAATAACATATTTTTAAAGAATATGTTGTTCAGTATGGAGATTACTAAAAAAACTAGGGATAGAACCACCATATGACCCAGCTATCCCACTCCTGAGTATTTTCCCAAAAGATCTGAAATCAACATAATATAGCAAAACAACCACCTCAATGTTTATAGCAGCATAATTCATAATAGCTAAATTATGGAATTGACCTAGGTGCCCATCAATAGATGAATGGAGAAAGAAATTGTGGTATATATACACAATGGAGTTCTACTCAGCCATAAAAAATAATGAAATTACAGCATGCTGATAAATAGATGGAAATGGAGAATATCATACTAGCTGAAATAAGTCAAGCTCAGAAACTCAAAGGTCGAATGTTTTCTCTCATGTGGAAGCTGGAGTAAAATGAAGGAAAGGGGGAGAGGAGGATAGGATAACATAAAGGGAGGCTCAGTAAGGTAGAAGAAGGAGCTTGAGAGGTAGAGTAGGATGGTAGGGGGAGGCAACGCAGAATGACTTCTTAAACAATCATGTTATGTGAATATGCCACATATATTCACCTTTATACATAAATATATGTGTACATATTCACCTTTATACAAACGTAAATATACATCAAATATAAATAGACAAGTGAGGTGAAGTCTAGAGTAGAGGAGGGAGGATGGGAGGGAAAGGGGGGCTCATGAACCGAAATAGAATTTCCTGTGTGTATGAGTTTGTCGGGATGAACCCACCTACTATGTATAACTATAAAGCTCTAATAAAAAAGAATAAATTGTGGTTATACATCTTAAAATATGTTCCCAGTCAAAAGAGTAAAATATAAGGCAATTCAATAACTAATTATTTTAGTTATTTTTTGAAACACAATTGTTGAGATTTTAACACACTTCCTTTCCCCTTCATAGGGGCTTATTTCTGTTGCTTTGACAAAAGTTTCTGAAAACGAAGCCTTCATTCCAATCAACAAAAATCTCTGGTAAGTATAGAAAAAAAGTGTCCTTTTAATGTTTGATAATTTCTCGTGTTAAAATTGGCTGTTTCTCATGAGCACTAAATTACCTCACCCATTCAACTCCTTAAAGGTCGATTTCATATGTCACCACACTGAGCTCTTTTGCCTTCTTCATCCTGCTGGTCCTATACCCAGTTGTTGATGTGAGAGGACTGTGGACAGGAGCCCCCTTCTTTTATCCAGGTAAGTCAACTCTAAATGCAAACAGAGTTGCTGATGGTGGCCCAGAGATCTACTGAGCTCCACTGGCTAGGGACTGGAGCCACTATGTTTCCAAGGAACACACTGAGGGAGACAGCTGGCCTGTTCTGAAGAGGCCCTCCCCATTTAGGTTCTGAGTCATTGTATGACAATTAATAAGCTCTACTTCCAGACAGTGGCAAATCGTGGAGCATCAGAAACAATCCAGCGCATTTTACTTGTTTTTTTTTTTTTTTTAATTTTTTATTGTTGGCTGTTCAAAACATTACATAGTTCTTGATATATCATATTTCACACTTTGATTCAAGTGGGTTATGAGCTCCCATTTTTACCCCATATACAGATTGCAGAATCACATCAGTTACACATCCATTGATTTACATATTGGGGACAAATGAATGTCAGTAGAGGGGGCAGAGAGAGAAGAGGGGAGGGGAGGGGAGGGGAGGGGGGATAGTAGAGGATAGGAAAGGAGGCAGAACACAACAGACACGAGTATGGCAATATGTTTACTTGGTTTTTAATACTTAGAAATGAGACTTTCTTAACACACATGTACTACCTCTAAGATTAGACATTTTAAGAAATATCAAGAGAGGGATGAAATAGTTTAGGTGCAGTTCTAAGATTCCTTCAATGACTCATTTTAGCTGTTTTGATTTTAGTAATAGTTACATTGTTTGTACCTCAAGTTTTATGTCTAAAAAAAGTTAATGTTGTAATTTTCCTTTCATATTTAATATTCAAGAATTCATTGTTGGGCTGAAGGGTATCGCTTAATGGTAGAACGTGTGCTTAGCACATGCAGTGCCCTGGATTCAATCCCCCCTCACACACACAAAAAAAAAAAAAAAAAAAAAAGAAAAAAGAATTTATCATAAAATGAATATTTTCTAGTAAATTAAAGATACAGTTCACATCTAATATCTCAAATATGCATCACTTATTCTCAGCGGCAGTCAGTAATACAAGTGCATGATTTTTGTTTTTACTGAACTCATTTCAGAAATTAAATAGATGATCCAATGTGATTCAGGAAGAAACTTATTTTCTGTGTCTCTCCTTAAGGAATGAATTCTATTCTGGTATATGTTGGCCACGAGGTATTTGAGGACTACTTCCCCTTTCAGTGGAAGCTGAAAGATAATCAGTCACACAAAGAACATCTAACTCAGAACATACTCGCCACTGCTCTCTGGGTGCTCATTGCCTACATTCTCTATAAAAAGAAGATTTTTTGGAAAATCTGATAGCTCCCACTCAAGTGTTGTTGGAAGACTCTAGTGGGCCTAGGTAAAGTATTGAAAGAACCTATATTGAGGGGAATCATCACTTATAAAAACAGTGGGATGTATTTCCAGATTTTGGGAGAAGGTGCTCAAGTTGGTTTACTCTGACATGAGTCATCAGAACTCTGTATATTTGTGACATATATTTGAAATGGTATGGTCTATCTTTTCTCCATCTTCTACATAAATGAATGCATTTGGAACTTCATTGTAAGGAAATCTCACTTAACTTTCCAAAAGGGATTTACTATGGGCATTTTGCGTCTATGATGCATAAAACAGTCTAAGGTTTGAGGACTGGGGATGTGGTTCAGTGGTGCTTGTCTAGCATTTGTTAGGTGAGGTCCTGGGTTTGATCCCCATCACTGCAAAACAAACAAACAAAAGTAAAAATCTAAGGTTTGATTCCTACTGACTTTTTTTTCCCCCTGGAAATTGCTTCTGCATGTGTACATGCATGCCAACAACAACAAAAATCATGATTTCCTACATGATAGAGTATAAACTTTATTGAATGGATGTGTCATAATGTTTTCTCAATATTTTGATTTGGTTCAATTTAATGTTTTAGGAAAGCCAAAGTAAGTTTTTTTTTTCAGATTATCAAGGCTTTGATGAGTCAAAAAATACCTATCAGAAGCCATTTTCTCTTTTTCCCCCATTTAAAAAATAAAATTAAAATATAGATGTATTATTCCCAACCATCTTGATTATCTACCTGTTTACTTTCCTATTTACCTATGTACTTAGCATCTATCCTTCTATCTCCCTACCTATCATCTCCTGGTACCTACATGAGTATCTTTTTTTTTTACTGGTTGCTCAAAACATTACAATGCTCTTGACATATCATATTTCATACATTTGATTCAAGTGGGTTATGAACTCCCATTTTTACCACGTGTACCTAAGTACCAGGAATGTACCTGTGGAAGAAAGAAACGCACACTGACTTCACTGTGAGTCCAACTGTCCATGCCTGCTGTATAAGATACTGGGCAAGTCCCTTGGGCTATTAGGACTTTGTGATGAGGTAGGGTACATCAGTAGCTTTTCTGAAATCTTCAGAACAACAATTTTGTTACAGAAAATGCCTCAAAAGAAATAAGAATAAAAATATTTTGAAAAACTATCATTAGAGTATGTCTTTTTAAAATGATCTTCCACTATGAAGACAGCTTTCCTGCTCAAAATCACAGAACTGAAGAAACAATTTCTTAGGAATGAAGGTAGGAGAACACATGGAGAAAGAGCATTTATCACACGATACATCATTATACTTAGAATTTTCTGAAGAATTATATACTTAAGGGAAACATTAGGGATGGAATTTTCCTTTAGACCACATCTGTGGTGAGAGGAGTCCATCTCCACTTACTCCATTTTTTCAACTATTGCCATTTCACAAACAGCTTTCTAGTCTATGTTCCCAGCTCTGCCTTCTGGCCTGGACTCCCACACCCTCTCCTAACTGTCTGCTGGCCCCCTCCTGCTAGAGGTATGCAAGCATCTCAGTCTCGCCTCTCCCGTCCTCCCTCTCCACAAATATAAGCTATTTCCTCTTCATATTTTCCTAGTTCTGTGAATGGATAAGTCTATCTCTAGTTATAAAACTGCTCCACCTTGTCACCCACCTTACCTCTGCTCTCCTGACTTCTTTCATATTTATACATTGCCAGTCCTCTTCATTTTCTCCCAGTAACTGCTTCTTTCTCATGGTCACTACCTCCACTCCACTCCAGATTCATCATAATTTTTCGGCTGGCTTTCTTTTCTCTGTCTCTTCTTCTCCAAAGTCACCTATCTGTTGCTACCAGACTCAATTTTGTAAAACAGAAGGGGTCAAATCAACCTCTTTAAACAACTTCTATAAAAATGGAAATATCTTTCCCTGGCATGCATGACCTATGATCAGCTGATCTCAGCATGCCTTTCCAGTTCATTTGGGATGTGGTTTCCCCCATCTCCTTTTACCCACTCCACTTATTCCAGCTCTGCTAGAAACCGCCCCATCTCCTGATTATATCTTCCTGGACCTTTTCCCCCTTAATTTCTTCCTCTCTACATTTAAGCTATCACTTTATTTATTTACTTTTTTTTTTAACATTTAAAGTTAAAAAAATTAGAAAGTTCATAGCTTAATGTTCAATTAACTAAAAGAATATAAGGAATGAACTAAGAGAGAAAATGTGGGAATCATTCAATAAAGAGATCATGAAAAGAACAAAACGAATACTGGAAGTGAAAGACTCAATAAATCAAATTCAAAACAGTTGAAAGCCTCACCAATAGATTAAATTACATAGAAGACAGATTTTCAAGTCTTGAAGACAAAGCATATATTTTTATTTTTTGTACTAGGAATTCAATTAAGGGGCACTTAACCACTACCCATATCCCCAGGCCTTTTTGTATTTTATGTAGAGACAGGGTCTCATTGAGTTGCTTAAGGCCTTGCTAAATTGCTGAGGCTGCTTTTAAACCCACGATCTTCTTGCCTCGGCTTCCCAAGCTGCTGGGATTACAGGCGTATGCCACCATGCCCAGTCATAACAAAGTACATAATCTTAAAAATAAATTCAACAATAAAGAAATTAAAAGACCATGACTGAATATTCAAGTAAGCTGGAACAACATTAAGACACTAAACCTAAGAATCATGGTATAGAAGTCACCCAAAATGCAAACTAAAGAAATGTTAAGCATTTTCAATGAAATAATAATCAGAAAAAAATCAAAACCTTAGGAATTAGATGCAAATCCAAATACAAGAGGTATTTAGAATCCCAAATAAACAAGATCAAAAAAGATTCTAAGACACATTATAATTAAAATGCCTAATGTACATAATAAGGGTAGAATTTTAAAGCCACACACACACAAAAAAAACAACAACAACAACAACAACAACAAAAATAAACAGGTGGTCACACTTAGAGGTAAGTCAATTAAAAGTTTTATTGATTTGTCAACCCAGACCCTAAAAGATAGGAGAACTTAAAATAATATGTTCCAAGCCCTGAAAGAAAATGGGTGCCAACCAGGATTACTATATCCATGAAATTTATTCTTCAGTGTTGAAGTGAAATAGAAAATATTCCATGACATGCAGACACTAAAATCATTCATAATCACTAAGCCAGCACTATAAAACATACTCAAGTATTTCATACAGAATAAATGAAATACAAATATCAGAGCCAATGTATGGATAAATCTCCCAGAATAGTGAATTAAAGGAGAATTGAGTCTGAATTAAGCATTAGAAATAAATCAAAATAAAGCATTAGAATTAAAGTAAGCATTAGAAATAAAATCACCTCTCTGTAATAACACCGAATATGAATGGTCTAAACTCTCCAATAAAAAGACATAAAATAATTCTCAACTATATGTCATTTACAAGAGTCAAAGACATTCACAGGCTGAAGGTGAAAGGATGGAAAAAGATACTACGCATATGGAGACAGAAAGCAAGCAGGAGTGGGTACTCTCATATCTGACAAAGTAGACTTCAAGCCCAAATTAATCAGAAGAGATGAAGAAGTTCACTTCATACTGGTTGAGAGAATAATCCAACAAGATATAATGATTGTAAATATTTATTCTCCAAACACATGCATACATAAACAAAGCCTACTCAATATAAAAAATATAACAGATACCAATAAAACAATGCTGGATCATTTCAACACTGTTGTCCACCAATAGATAGGGAATCAATTAAAAATAAACAACTAAGGACTCTTCAGAACTAAAAACATTACTATTAATCAAATGGACATAGCACACACACATACACACACAACACACTCTATGAAGTTACTTGAACTCAGGTGCACTGTATCACTGAGCTGCATCCCCAAACTCTTAATTTTTTATTTTGAGACAGGGTCTTGCTAAGTTGTTTATGGCCTCCTAAGTTGCTGAGGCTGTCCTTACACTTGCAAATCTTGACCTCCTGACTTGTTGGGATTACAGGCGTGTGCCATTGTGCCCAACTAACAGACATCTGTAGAAACAACTAAATTCACTTTCTTCTCAGCTGCACATAGAACCTTTTCTAAAATAGACCATATTTTAGTACAATAGTACAAAACCAGTCTTAGAAAATACATATTGAGATCTGATCATAATTATTTCCTGTCTTCTACTGATTTTAGTATTTGTTCTTCTTTTTCTAGGGCCTTGAGGTATAACATTAAGTTATTTGGGAATTTTTTTTTGTGTGTGTATATGTGTGTGTGTTTTTTTAATGTAGGCATTCAATGCTTTTTTCTCAGAATTGTCTTAACACTGTTCCAAAAATTTTGATACATTGTTTTTCTGTTCAGTTGTTTCTAAGAATTTTTCTTTTCTTTTTAATTTCACTTGTTTTATTTTTATGTGGTGCTGAGGATCGAACCCAGGTCTCACTTGTGTGAGGTGAGGGATCTACCACTGAGCCACAACCCCAGCCACCTAAGAATTTTTATTTCTAAAAAAAAAAAAAAAAGAATACATAGAGATAATTCCTCGAAACTTTGTTAGATCATAATGGAACAAAATTAGAAACCATTAACAAGATAAAAAACAAACTATCTTTTTTGCAGGGTGGGTACTGAGGATTGAACTCAGGGGTACTGAGTCACATCTCTAGCTCTATTCTGTATTTTATTTAGAGACAGAGTCTCACTGAGTTACTTAGCACCTCGTTTTTGCCGAGGCTGGCTTTGAATAGAAGATCCTCCTGTCTTAGCCTCCATAGCTGCTGGGAATGCAGACATGCCCCACCGAGCCTGGCAGAAACCATTTTGATGCCTGGAGATTAAATAAAACACTCCAATGAGGAATGGATCATAGAAGTAATCAGGGGAGAAATAAAAAAAATTCTTAGAAACAATTGAGAACAGAAAAACAATGTATCAAAATCTCCGAGACAGTATTTAGACAATTCTGAGAAAAAAAGCTTATAGCATTGAATGCATACATTAAAACACACACACACACACACACAAAAAAAAAAAAAAAAAAAAAAAGAATCCCAAATAATTTAATGTTATACCTCAGGGCCCTAGAAAAGGAAGAACAAATACCCAAATCGGTAGAAGATAGGAAATAATTATGATCAGATCTGAAATTAATGCAATTGAGAATAAAAAGATACAAAGGATCAGTGTAACAAAGTGTGAGCTCTTTGAAAGATAAACACGATTGACAAACCCTTAGCCAACTAATCAAAAGAAAGAGAAGGCCCAAATGGATGGAATTAGAGATAAAAAGGAGCTACCATCATAGACATTACTGAAATTAAAAGGAACATTAGAAACTATTTTGAAATGTATAATCCAATAAATTGGAAAATCTCAGTTATTGACAAATTTCTAGACACATACGACCTACCCAATTTGACTATGAAGGTAAAGAAAATTTAAATAGACCAATATCAAGCAATGAGATTGAAGCAGCAATTCAAAGCCTGCCAACAAAGAAAAGCCCAGGACCAAACAAATTCTCAGCTGAATTCTACCAGACCTGTAAAGAAGAGCGAACACCAATCCTCTTCAAATTATTCTATTAAATAGAAAGAGAAGGAACACTCCCAATTTAATTTTATGAAGTTGATAGCACCCTGATATGAAAAGCAGGAAAAGACACATCAAGAAAACTACAGACCAATATCCATGATGAACAGACACAAAAATTCTTAATAAAATAATAGCAAACTGCATTAAAAAACACAGTAAGAAGATAGTACACCATTATCAATCAGGTTTCATCCTAGGGATACAAGATTGGATCAACATATGCAAATCAATAAATGTAAATTAAGACAGGGATCATGTGATAATCTTAACAGATGCAGAAAACGCCTTTAATGAGATTCAGCACCAGTTTATGTTAAAAACACTGGGTAAATGCAAATCAAAACTACTCTAAGATTTCATCTTATACCAGTCAGAATGGCAGTTATCAAGAATACAGACAACAATAAATATTGGTGAGGATCTGGGGGAAAAGGCACACTCATTCATTGCTGGTGGGACTGCAAGTTGGCACAACCAATCTGGAAAGAAGTATGGAGATTCCTTAGAAAACTTGGAATGAAACCACTATTTGACTCAGCTATCCCATTCCTTGGTCTACATCCAA